TAAACCAACTCTTTTACATAAAATATTTTCTTAAATGATTAATTAAGGGTAAGGTAAATCTCATGATTTAAAAATTGCTTATAAAATACTTACCTACTAACTTGACTTACATGAAAAATAGGTCTTGAATCAAGTTATCTCATATTTGTGTTCTTTGGCTGTAAATATGCTTTTATTGATATTTCTTTTGGGCACGTTTATAAGAAATAATAGTTAAATAAGTCGGTTATAACTTAATCCTTAAATTTAAACGTGGTATAATCTCATCCCTATTGCTTTAATAATTTAAAAATTTAATCTCTTAAAAAGTAAAATTATATATTTTATAAAACTCAGTAATTAAAGTTTTAAATGGTTAAAATCATAGAGACTGATATATAGTGGGTTAAACTTTAAAATCCGAGTTATAGTTGAATCAAAACCATAAGGATTGGGTTACATTAAATGAAAACTTAATGCTTGAACTATAAGTGAACTAAAATCACAGGGATCAGCAGATTAAATATTCCTTAGACAAATGTATTCATTTTTTTTTATACAATTTGTTTATTATGAATAGGCGTAGAACGGTAGAGGGAGTATTAAAACAATGGATCAAAAAATAGTATGAAATGATTAAAATTGATAAATACACGTAAGCCCACATGACAAGCAAACTTAGAGACGAATTAAATATTCCCAAGAAATGAATTGCAAGAATTAGTGTGTACTAAAGCTATCATTTTCACAATCTAACGAGTCAAGTAACCAAATGTACACACGTATGGTCTTAATAGTAAAAGGGAAAAGTAAAGAGGGAATTAAGATAAGATGGATGAACCAAAAAGAGCGTACAAACAAACCACAAGCAGACAACCCAACAGACACCTAACAACCTTAACCCCTCTGTCCTTCCCAAATTCTTCCTTCTCTCTCTCCTTTCCTTCCTTCCCTCCCAATTAATTAATTCTGTATTAATTAGTAGCAATTAAGAAATTATATTTAAGATAAAATAAAATAAACCTCAATCAATTTCTATATTTAGGATGGGAAAGTATTGCTTCCTTTGATCTTTAATACAAAAACTAGATAATTAGGTTGTAAATATTAATAAAATTAGTTAAATTAGTTATTTATAACAAATATGTCTCGAATTTTCTGAATTATTTTTTTTAATCATATGCATTGGAATTATCTTCTGATTGCAAGTCTCTTTAACATGTGCAACTAACAAAGACAATTTGGACTAAATTAGTTAAGTAAATATCCAATTTGTAGTGCAAAGACCAGAGGTAATATTAAAACATCGAAGTAGTACAAATTTAGAGGCAAAGTAAACCAATCTCTTTATTTTTTCCTTGTCTAGCTCTTTTATTAAGGGGATGTTTGGATAGAAATAAAATCATGATTTTAAAAATGCTTTTACGGTATATAAAATAAATATGTGAAGGAGTTTATCACGATTTGCGAAAAAATACTTCTGAGGCTAACCTAACACCCCCTAAAACTATTAATATGAGACCGAAGGTGATATTACAGTTTCCTTGTTAACCAAACAACCACATATTGTGCTCATCTTTGTTTTTGTTGTCTTGTACGAAATTACATTACCTTGCATCCTATGCTTCTTGACTTTGATTATTGCTTATTTCTTCAATAGCATAGAGACATCTTGTTAATCACTTTATCCTGTTTTTTCCACTCAATCAGCCAAAATGGTAGGCCCCAAATAATGCTAATCAGTGTACCACATGAATGATTTTGCTTAACGAAAATTTGGCAAGAATACTCACGTGACTAAAGATAAGTCAAGCTTCACATCTCAAATACTCGTCTGATTGTGGTGAATTTATTGTTAGATATGATTAGTTTTGATGATGTCAAATAATAGAGCAAAAAGTTTACATAAATTATTTATCTTATATTTTGACTAACTATCATACTTAATATCTTGTGTAGTTTCCTCAAGAAAAGAAAGGAGTTATTATGTTGCACTTTGAGTTATGGAGAATGATCAAGAGGAAGAAGAAGAAGAGAGATTGAGAAAAGAAGAACTTGCAAGATCAAATGAAAATATCAAGATTCAAGTTCATAGATTTGATGTTAAATGTTGCTATACTCAATTAGAAGTTTGAATGGCTCAGTCGGAAGCTAAAATATACAACCGGGAAGTTATACCATCATATATTGAGTCACCCTTCATATAAACATGGAAAATAAGCTTTAGAGGTGATTTTCATGGGCAATTATCGATCACTTGATCGATCATCCATTTATCGATCAAGTTATCGATAAAATACATCCTCTGTTATGCTCTGTTCTTCGTTCATCTCTGATATAGGTTCAGTATTTCTTTAATATCTCTCAAACCACAAATCCGTTTGAGGTGAAACTTAATTCATATGAAACTAGACTCAGAACACGGTTCATGGACACCAAAATCAACTTCAAAGAGTTTCATATGAGGGAGATATGGTGCTCGAAACATTGCAGTAAGGATTAACGCCTTGATTCTGACCTTCAGTCACTGTGATGAAGATAACTTTGTAACTACAACGAATTTTAGGGTAATTCTTGTTGCATTAGAAAGTAGACTCAAAGATATTTCTGGGGATAGGTCATTTGCAAAAATTGGAGTTGAATTGGAAGATTTATGATCACCCAAAGTTGACCTTCGTTTTGCTGGAATCAGACTTCGAATTTATTGAGGCAAAGACCAGAAGTTCTACACTGAACGATTAAGTTCTCAAGCAACATGCTACTCAAACATGTTATTGAGTAAAAGCTCTAGAAGAGATGAAGAAATGAAAAGCCATTATCATATGTTACTCGAGCCTGATCAAGCGACTACATACTCATCGAGTTACTGGTACTATCTCCTCAATTCTTTTCTTTTATCTTCATACATATTATTAAGGTTTTATCAGTAACATGTTGGATAAATGATTTTTGGATTACGTTATAGATGAATATGTTTATCGATCACTTGATCGATAACTGTCAAGTTTTATCGATCACGTGATAGATAATTTAGTCTGCTCAATAACTTGCTAGATTAATCGATCAACTAATCGATCATTGGTATAGCTGCTTAATATAAGATGTTGCAGGAAATAATCGATCACTTAATCGATCAGACCTTTATCGATAACTTGTTCGAATATTACATGTCTTCTTACTCGATATAGTGCTCTGTCAAAACCATTCGTTCAAAATCTTTTATCGATCAATTGATCGATCAAACATTTATCGATCAAATGATCGATTATTATCTTCACTGCATTAACTTATGTTAAATCATTTTTTTCACCTAATCGATCATTGATTTATTGATAAAATGATCGATCATTCGATTTCCTGAAACTTATGTTTTCACATAACGTGATCGATAATCAGTTTCTTTACCTTGCAGGATTAAATCTCTGTTTTTCATTTTATCGATCACTTGATCGAATATTCATTAATCGATTACCTGTTCGATTAATCCACATAGTCTGTGTTTTTTGCTGAATATATTCTTACTCATTGTTTATCGATAACCTTATCCATAATCCATTTATCGATAATGTGTTCGATTATTATTGGTTTAATATCTGTTTCTATAATACCTTGTTTATCGATAACCTGATCGATCAACAAATATTCGATCACTTGTTTGATCATTGTACAAGTTTATTTCATAACAGCATTTCACGATGATTTCAAAATCTTTTATCTTTTTATCTTCAAGCTTTTCTCAGCCTTCTTTTTACACATAACTCTCTATTAAAAGGATACGAAGGCAAACGTAACTTAAAAAGGTTTATTCTTGCATAAATCATTTTTAGGTCACTGTATTCATACTTCATCATTTATCGATCATTTGTTCGATCATCATATGATCTATAATCTATTCGATAAATGCATCTATCTGCTATATCTTTTCTTCATGTAATTAATCTATAATATAATCGATCAAAGCTTTATCGATCAAGTAAGTTCATCTTACTTTCTGAATATCTGATGATTGATTCCATGTTTTCCAACTTATTGTTTCTATAATTATCAGATACTTATCACTTGATCTGAGGAAGATTATTTCAGATAAAGAGCCACAACGAATTTATGATGTGAAGAATCGACGTTCATCAGAAGCTTCCAATGGCTAGTTTCAACGGTCATATTCTTCAAGCCAAATGGGAAGAAAAAGCTCAACGGTCAACTACCCAACATCATCTATAAATAGAAGAGCATTCAAAACAAGAAAAAAATGAGAAGAGCCTGAGCTTACAACATCAAATGCTAAAATGCTAAATCAACATATTCTCATTTAGAGCTCCGAGAAAAAACTCCCTGTCTCTGTACTTCATAGACTAAAACATATGTATTCGTGAGATAGAGAGGAGAGTTTCCCAAACGTGTTTAAGATTCATCTATCACTTCTTTGAGAGAAGAAATATTCAATCTTCATTATCCTTATCAGATTGTATCCTTACGGTGAGTAAGGGGAAGTATTTACTTCGGTGTGAGGTTGCTGCTGAATAGATTGGTTAGTCTAAGAATTGTAAGTGGCATCACAAGTGCCCGGATCAAACTTGTGATTGTAGTGGTTCTCAAGTACCCGTGTTAAACTTGAGGGAGATAGTCGATTGAAAATCTCAGAGGAAGCCTGGGGACTGGACGTAGGTCAGTGAGGACCGAATCAGGATAAATCACTGTTTGCATCTTCTCTTCCCTTACCTCTTTATATTTCCAACTAAACCATTTTACTACTGTAATTATGCTTATCTCGATCTATTGTTTTTTATACTTGAAATTTTTATGAATTTCATTACATTGCGAAAAGATTTTTAATTTTAATCAATACCCAATTCACCCTCTCTTGGGTTTAATCATTCCAACATTTATTACATATCCCAAGTGAATTTATAATTTTTTTGACCGGTCAGAAAATTTATAATTGGGATATAAGTAGCAGACCCCATTCTGAATTTTATGATGTCGTGGCCACTGACAAAGGAGGAAGAAAGTAGACAATTTTTAAATTTGTGACATGGCTCAGAAAAAAAAAAAAGTACAGGACAGAACCATAATTACCTGAAAATCACTGATAAATTTACAAGGGAAAACCTAAATGCAGTAACTTCATCATGATGACCATATGTGATTCCAAACCTTGTCCAATAATCTACAGAATCTCATAGATTATTTTTCATAATATGAAGAAAGTTAAAAACAAAAAAGAATTGAGATCAAAATCCAACCCCAGCCGCGCCGACGCCGAGCGCAGCCGGACGGTGATGTGGCTCCAGCTTCCTGTTCTTCCAGAAACAAGCGTCCGGGGCCAGCTTAGTCGACGACCTCATCGGCTCCGACTTGCAGCGAGTAAGTACAAATGGCTCGTAGGCATTGGACCCCACCAGCTTCTGCTCGATCATGCTCGCCATTGACATCCCTCCGCCGTGAGCCGCCGGCGCCGGAAACGAACAGGACGACCTCGGCGGCTGCATCAGTGGAGGCGGCCCCAGCGGCGGCTTGGCGTCAATGCTAATCCTCTTCTTTGGCTCATCTCCCCCGCCCTTTCTCTTCGCCGGCCTCTCGGGTAGCCACCGTACGAAGTCCGTACTGCACACCCACGTCTCCTTCGACACCTCCATAGATAGCTTCGGCTCACACATCATCAACAGCAAGCAATCGGGTAGAACCTGACCCTGCTTCTGTTCCCTGGGTTTCGGGTCTTCCGGGTCGGATCTAACTTGGGTCGCTGTCGATTCGTCTTCCCCAGGTCCCTCTTCCGTCTCTTTCTCTTGTTCTTCCTTTTCCGTTGACTCCACAGTTGCTTCTTCTCGTGCGGATGTTTCAGGCGGCACAGAAATTTCTACTTTTTCTTCTTCATTGTTTTCTGATTCTGACGTTACAGAAATTATAGGCGATAATGAAGCAGATTCTGAGATTTTTAGTTCGTTGCAACAAAAATCTTCGCCGTTGTCCTTCTCCTCCTGTAGTTTCTCTTCATGAAACTCTTCAAGTTCTGGTTTTTCAAGATCTGCGAGGACTTCAGGAGAATTATCACACAAGTTTTCGTCTTTCAGATTGCCATTACCTTCTTCAACTTCAACTTCAACTTCGACTTCGACTTCTTTTTCCTTTGCTTGCTCTTCTTCGACTTCTGGCTTTCCTTCACTTGCTTCGGCAACTTCACTAATTTCTGGGGTTGTTGGGATTTCAGATTCACAAGCTTCAATTACTGATTGTGCTTCTGTTTCTACTTCTTCTGGGATTTCTCGTTCACAAATGCTGCTATCTTCTTCCACTGCTGGAACTTCAATTCTGTCCCGCTCTTCTTCTTCCATGTGTACTTGTTCTTCTTCTTCTTCTTCTTCTCGGCGTAGTTCATCATCTTGTTCAACTTCTTCATCTTTCGGAGCAGGGGACTCCCAGAACCGATTGGCGAGAGCAGCCATTTTCACAGGATCAGATCTGCACCTCATCAACAAAAGAGCATTCTTTGGAGGAATACATATACTCACTCTTGCCTTATCTTCTTCCTCCTCATTCTTCTTCTCTACATCAATCTCAATATCTTCAAGCACGTGTCTTCTTCTACTTCTCTCTGGCGTATCCTCCTTTCTATCATCTTCTTTTTCATTTTCTTCACCCACCACCAGCTCAATCTCTCTCCCCTTAACTTCACCTTCTTGCAACGCCACCAACCATCGCGCAAATGCAGCCCCACAAGAACCCTCCCTACTCTGTCCTTCACCAGATCCCTCGCCTTTCCCTACCTTCTCTTCTTCGTCTTTCTCTCTCCCACAAGAAGACGAACGGCAAGGAAATAAACAGCTGAACTCGGCTCCGAACGATCTCAAGGCTTCACAAATCGTCAGTGGCAGGTGAACCCATCTCTGATTCCGATGCGTTAAATCCGCTTCTTGCTGCAAATTCTGAAGATCTGAAAACCCTTGCTCCGCCTTTCGAAAGCTTGCTTCTCCTCTCCTCTTCTTCGATCTCGCCCTCATCTTCTTCCCCTGTTTCTTCGTCTTCACTCGTACTTGCCCAATGCATGTTACTTTCGGCGAAGAAGGTTCTGGGTTCTCGAAAGCACATCCCCTCTTCTTTCCGGTCGTCGGGAACATCGGTGAGGCCTGACCGTTACCGCCTTTTATGCTGCCATTGTTTCTGAGCCTCCGGCTCAGAGAAGTAGACAGAGTAATCTGAGACGGTTCTCTGCTGCGACCTGGGCTGAGAATGGACTTGGACGAGAGCTTCATGGATGAGGAGGAAGACAAGCGAGAGGTGAAGCAGATGAAGAGCTCGCTGGTGCTGTTATTGTGATGATGGGGTCTCTCTACTTCCATTAAACTCCCTCTCTTCGATAAAAAAAACCTAAAGCATGGCGACTGAGAGGAGAAGGTTTTTTGGGGATCCTAAGCTAAGTTGATGAAGAAATATCAATGCTTTAATGGTGGGTGGGATAGCATTTCCAGAGAGAGTAGTACTACAGGATACAGATTGCAGAACACTGTGTGTGTGAGAGAGAGAGAGAGAGAGAGAGAGAGGGTGACGAAATGCTGTTTGTCTTTAGCCCAATGTAACTGAGGAGGCCTTTAGGTTGTGGGTTAGGGAATCGTAACTCGTAAGGTCTGGTTTGTTATATTTTCTTGACCTTTATGACGATAATGCCCTTCGTCTATTATTATAATTCGTGAGGACACGTGGCATGATTAGAAAGATAAGAGTGTGAGGGAGAGCAGAAAAGGAAGTGAAACTGCGTGCCCGAGAGCTTTGGCAGATGAACAACTTCGGTAATATCGCAAAGTGAAGTGGAGACCCAAAAAAGTGCAGCAAGAGTTACCCTGCGGAAAAGCTCCAATTGCACCAAAACAACCGTATTTTGTGATTGTTTAGAATTGCTTATCATAAACAAATTTAGTGAAAATCAAAATTCTTCTCGCGATTTTAAATATAAAATTTATTTTATAATATAATTTATATTATAAAATAAGTCTTATATCTAAGACCAGAAGAATATTATTTATTACATATACTACGGGGGTGTTTGGTATTACATAAAAGTGTTTCTGAAAAATGTTTTTTCACAAATTGAGATAAACTCCTCCGTATATTTATCTCATATATTGTAAAATCATTTTTAAAACCATGGTTTAGTTTTCATCCAAACACTCCTATAAGTTTTGATTAAAAAATTGTTTCTGAACACTCTAATGGTCGTTCTAAACAGTTCATTTAACTTGCATATAATGGCATACATTCTCTATACTGCTATGCAATTTTTCTTTTTGTAATTACTTCTGCAGCGATATATATATTTATATGTATCTATAAAATCCCAAGCTTAAAATGATATAGCCCGCATGAATATAAAAACAAAAAAAACAAAAGAATTATAGATTAACTATACTATTTAACTATATGATAGCAAAATTAGCAAGGTAGAGACGTGACTAATTTTTTCCACGGAAGCGTTGGATTTCAGATGCGCCTTGATGGGTGAAGAAATAATTAATAAGACTATCTGGTTAAATTAAATAATATTAGATTAATTATTATTTAAATTTAATATTAGTCAAATTAGCTTTCGCTAAATAAAAGATAACATTTGGAATTGATGTTATTTAATTACAATATTATAAACAATTGGGAAATGTTTTTAATATTGATGAAATTTTCTCTTTTCCTCCTCTGATGAGATGTATCTACAATGCTTAAGTAGAATAAGCTATGATAATAATAAAAGATAATACAATATTTGAAATTCTTATTTCCCATAGAGATAAGAGAAAAGGGAAATATCTTTGTATTCATTCACAACAGGCAATATAATATTAGATTGAAACATATTAATGATATATTTTGTCCGTAATCATGACCAATAATAACCCACAACACTGAAACATTATTTTATAATTGATATATTCAGCAGTTCTTGCTTCGTTCAAAGATTTTCTCCTGCATGCCAACAAGGAAAATAATTGAAGAGAGAAAGAAAATATTCTGGGTCTTTGAGAATGGATGGAATCCAGGAGACCACAGGAAGATGAACATAAATGTCTTGACACGTAACAAAATGGATATATTCATTCGGTCCTTAATATAAGACTAATTTAACTAATTTGATTAAATTAAAAAAATTAGGTAAATTAGTTAATTATAAGAAATGTGACACGTTTTTTCTAAAACATCATAATCATCTTTCTTAATATCATCTCTCTCTTCTACTTGATTATGGTTGAGAGACTATCCATAGGAGTAATTTAGAAAAAAATTGATAAAAATAATAAATAGGTCTTATATTTAGGATCAAAACCAACTCAATAATTGGATCATATATTAAAGAGCGAAGGAATATATACATATATAAACACATCACTCCCACATTTTCTGATTTGATCTATATGTAGGGTTAATAACATACAAAAGTGATAAGGTGCCACAAAACATGGGAATTATTTTTATTTTATTATTTTGAGCAATTGCATGAACGTGGCCAGCTAATCATGCAAGCACCAGTTTTATATATTTACATATATTCACACACAAGCATATATGTTAACGTTACAGAAGGCATAGACGTTGGAAAGTAATGCATTATATTTTTAAAAAATAAAATAAATATAATTTACCGTCACCTGCTTATCATTTTATTTTTGGTAAATTCAATATATAACACCACTAATAAAAATTAAATTGAGAGGAAATAATTAGTCTGTGAATTTGATTGGGAGGGTAGTAGATAGAAGAGAAAGAGGAGGGGTAGCTTGGGAAGGGGGTGGTCACGTGGGAGTGGGGGAATCGGAAGGTGCACGTGACCGCAGTCTAAAGGCTTGAGTACGTAAAGATCGAAGTCCACCATCCCCACCAATCATTCTCCACAGCTCACCCCCCCCCCACGCGCGGCCCTTTCCCCGTGTTTCCCAATGCCACCTCATGTTTTATTATCCGAGCTGCCTGTGTTTATTTTATATAGTTGTATTATTTTTTTAAAAAAATTATTTACAAATAATCGAATTACGTAATTTATAAAATGAGTTGAAATTACTTAAAAAATTAGTTGTAAAAATATATTTTTTTAAAACAACTACAAAGTGTAACTCATAAAAAAGACACATCATACCCCAAAAACTGTAATTTATAATTTATTGCCAAAAAAAATTATAACTTATATTTGGTATTTAAAAGTTTTTTTTTTGGTTTACGGGACTTGAATTGATTAGGTGGACTCATTGGTAGGTATAAATTTTTTTTAAGTTTTGGCCAATATTTTTTACATATGTGCAAATCTTTCGTTTTACACATGATTAAATGCGAATTAGATACCGCTAAAAAAGAATTTGCACTTCTATTATTGAACAAATTTTAAATGTTTTTGGCACTAACTATTTCAAAGGTTGATTTTTCATCCATTTTCCTAATTTTTTTGTTTAATTTAATTATCTAGACTCTCTTAAATAAGCAGAATTTTTATTTTCTGATTTTTGGGAGAAAATCCGGCATGAGAAAAAGCTAAAATATTGTATGGAGAGCGTACGAAAAAGGAGAGTGGATTATGGACATAAAATTCTGGAAGTGCAAGCGGGTCCCGATGGCAGAGAGACCTGTGCCTTGTTCCCACGCATGACATAGAGAAGCGCGCACTCGTGGCGCGTGGAACAAAAGGGAATGCGGAGTGCTGAAATCAGGTGCGGCAACCATCACAAAAACAAACATGAACGCATCATCTCATGGCCTGCCACGTGTAGGAAGCCAAATGAAATTGTGATCACAGATGCTGATGATCATTCAACTAAGCTTAATGGACAAACATGGCATGCTCTAGGTAACAGAGGAAAGGAGACACAGGAAACAAAGGCGAAAAGGAGAAGGCAATTAGTGATTAATTAATGGGTCAAAGTGCAAAAGGAGAAAATTATAGAGAGAAGATGGTAAAATAATGAGTGGGTCAAGGGTTTCTTAAAAAGAAGGGGTTTGAATTCAGACTTGCCACTTCACTACCAGACAAAACTTCTATTAATATCACATGATGTAACCAACAACGCTTCCTTTCTTTTTCTCTCTCTTTTTTTTTAAATTAAAAAATTCATTTTGATGCATCACTCAACACTCAATAGGGTCTTTTGAGACATTTCACTTTTCGGCCGTCTAGACATTAGCCAATATATCCAAAGTCTTAATGTTTTATTTTTATTGCTCTCAAGAGAAATTTTATTTTAAAAAAAATACTTCTCCGGTCCTTAATATAGGACCCATTTAACTAATTTGATTATATTAAGGAAGTTAGGTAAGTTAGTTAATTATGAGAAAAGTAACACATTTTTCCTAAAATACCATAATCATCTTTCTTAATACCCACTCTCCCTCTTCTACTTGATTATAGTTGAGGGAGTATTCATAGGAGTAATTTAGAAAAAATTGATAAATATGATAAATGGGTCTTATATTTAGGACCAAAACCAACTCAATAATTGAGTCCTATATTAAGGACCGGAGAAGTAGTTATAAATCATAAGACTCTCACCTTGTGATTTTTTTATACATTTTTTGAGGAATTTCACAGGGGGGTCATATTTTGTGTATGTGTTTGTTACATAAATATAAATAACCTAAACAGTTGGAAAAAATACGCAACAATTTAAAATAAATATACATCATCCTAATTTTTTATATAAGCCATTTGTAATGTATTTTCGCATGTCAATCAATACATTAAGTTGACAAAATTTTAAATTTTACATTTATTAAAGTTTTCTCTCTCTAAATTTAGAAATCATTCCCATACTTATTCATCCTTTATCTATTTTCAATAAAAATTAAATAACGATGAAATTGAAAAATAAACATTGAATGTATTACAAGTTACTTTACATTTAAGACCAAAACTTTTTCATACAAATAACTTATATTTAGAACCAAAATGTGATACATATATATATTAGATATTTTCTTCATTTATAAACAAGTAGTAGTAGAACTGGTTTGGGCTAATATAATATTCGGTCTTTCAAATTTATTTTTATTTTGATTTTGGTCTCTCAAAGTTCAAACCATAGTTTTTAGTCTTTTAAAGGGTATAATCGTTCAAATTTTTATTAGATTATAGGACCAATATTATAAATGAAAAGAAACTTGAGAAACTAAAACATATGATTTAAAACTTGAATGACCAAAATTAAAATAAAAACAAATTTAAAATGCTAAAATTTGTATCAACCCCGATAGTTTTATGAAGGATTTATGGAGGAATGGGGCAGGGGAGGCCAAGTTGTAAGGGAAGGTGGTCCATTGATGTACTTGGGTGACACAGACCTCATCTATGACTTGTAAGGTTTCAATGCCATTTTGCCCCACAAACCCCTCTCCGTCCATTATTCTCCAATTATGCATTTATATTCATGTGCCCTTCCCTCTCAACTTTTAACACTAACAACTAATTCCATACTATTTTTAAAATAAAAATTATCTGCAATTCGATTCATCTCAAATTCTATGCAAAATACCAATTCACAATATGGTTGTTTATAATTTTGTAATGAGTGAAATTTAGTTATAAATTTCATATATATTTGATATTCATATTAGCTTCATGCCGTCCCTAAGAGGCAAAATTAAGTCATTTAAATGTCGTTTTTCTTAAAATTAATTTTATGAAAAGCTAAAGGTGCTTAGTTGTGACTCTCCCAACTTGTCACCTCGTTTCAACCACAAGTGTCTCAATCTACATGAATGAATGAAAGTGAGGCTTTTGTGAAACATGTTAAAACACTTGAACATGTCATTTCAACATATTTATTTTTAAACAACTGTTCTATATCTAGCACAACCGATTGACATAGATTAGATCATTATTAGGCTTAAATAAAGATAATTTTTAATATCGTAAAGTTTGAATTTTCAATCTTAAAAGATATTAAATTCATGTCAATAAACTTAGTTATTAACGATGATTTTTACATTTTAATATGACTATTTGATTAGATCAGAATCAGAAATAACTTTTTTAAAGATATTTTCTATATCTACGCGTACCCAAAGCTTTAAACATGGGGGAGAGCCTCTTGGACATTTTGATCATATGCAATATAATGCATTGTGAGTGGATGATGTTTAAGATAAATACGAGACATTGTCACCATCGGCGCATGCATTAAAGTGCACTTCTCAATACTAAAGTTTCACAACAACACGTGTACATGATATGAGGTTGTCGGGTTTTAGTTACACACACACACACACACACACAGAGTAGTATATATCAATTAATTACTCTCTTTAGTGCCTCTCACGGTAAACCGATAACTAATTTTCAAGAATAAGAAATATAATTAAAAATAGTTGGATTAATAAACATGTTAAAAATAATTTTTTTTAAAAAAACCGTCATTCAATAATTGGTTAATACTACTTTCAGTTCTAATTATAAAAGCTAGTTGACTAATTTGAGAAGATTAAAGAAATAAGTTAAGTTAGTTATTTGTAATAAATAAGTGTTATCTTTCTTAAAATATCTTTACCAATCAAGTTTATTGGTTAGAACTATCATTATTAGAAGGACTACTTTAGGTAAAAATGTATAAATATGAGAGATAAAGTGGATTGAGTTCTTATAATTAAGACCAAATTAAAAGTCAAATGAGGTCTTATATTAAGGATCGGAGGTAGTATAAAAGAAAATTTTTCATAAATTTTTTATTAAAATTTTTTAAATAAGATGTTATTATTTCTTATAAATAGGACTGTATATGGGGAAATTATAATTCAAAAATTATCCTAATTTTTTTAATAGAAAAAATAGGGGAAAGTATAGTTCAAAAATTAGAAAAAATTATAATTAAAAAAAAAAAGTTGGTGCCTTTTTGTTTTTGACCAGAAGTTGGTGCCTAACAAGTAGCAAGGTCAAGAGGATCATGGCCTAGTGGCCAGTACTAAGGAGCAACTCAGCATATCTTTGTCCTCATAATTCAGCATTTTAATTTTTCAATATTACACATTTCTTGACAACATTTCACTGTATATGACCATCATATCACCACATTCCAAGTCAAACGTTAGGATTAAAAAAACATTTGACTAAGTACTTACAGATTAAAAGTCAACATCATCCCAGAAATTTCTGAACTATATCTATATATTGATTAGATATTTATTCATATTCATGAACAATTGAAAAACTCCAAAGCTTCCACTCTCTGTGATACAGTGAGAACCCAGAAAAAGAAAAGAACGGCACTGTTCATCTATTATCAAACTACAGTGGAATGAACAAACCCTGTTTAAGTTTGAAGAAAGAGAAAGATAGGGGTGCCTGTCTCTTGCCTCTTAGGATCTTCTTATCCTCTCTAATTTGTGTGTTTGATTTGAAATGTTTATCGGACTCACATGATTCCTCGTTATCTTTGCCAGCTTCGATGGCATATACATAGCTTTCACATATCAATAATGAAGAAGCTATAAAGTGAGTCATCTCTCGTTAAGTTCGTGAGTTGTCTCTGAATCATAAAAAGTAGTGTGTGGAGTCGGCTTCAGTTAGTTTTAAGAAGAGAACGTTGGAATCGCACTCATCAAATTTGGTTGTGAGATTGATAGCAACTAAATAGTTTATTACTTCTTCTTTTTTTTAATTGAAAAGAGTTTATTCGTTCCCTAATGAGACTGAAAAAACGTATAGGAGATGTGCAAATTGGTTGGTTGGCCTCTCAAGTTTCAAAACAAATCAAAAGATATTTGAATAATCCCATTTAAAATTGAATCATTTATCCTCCCATCAACTGAATGTTATATAAACTTATAATATAATCAAGTTTGGTTTGAAGTGTACTTTTTAATACTACATATGTTAACAAGATTTAAAAAAAAAAAAAAACAGGCCAATGTTACGATCTTCGTTGTGCTCAGAGACACCAAAGGTTATATGGCACAGTGACAGTAAGCCCTCCTCGTAAAAAGAGAGGTCGCTTCTTCAAACCCCAAGTAGTGCAAAAGTGTGCGGGAATGTCTGTTAGGTTACCCTAGCCTATAAGAAAGGGTTATTAGGATAGGGATGACGCTTTAGATAAAGAACAAGTTAGAAAGAATATACTGTAAAAGACCTAAACCACTGTTGAGACTTGAGAGTGGTTTTAAAATAGAAGCAAGGAATAACCTACCCCTATTCATTAAACTTAGAAGTCACAACCAATCATTTAAATATTAGCATATTTAAACCACCTCATCCAACCACACCTAAAACCAACCTTCCAAAGTGACCAACACGCTTTTACTAGTCCTCACTTCCTACAAAAGCTTACTTTTAAATGCCTGTGTGTGTGTGTAATGCCCCACAAGACTCAACACCGTTGCCAATTGAAGCCATTCCAATTCTAACTTCGTTAAGGAAAAGGGATCGCAAGAAAATTTGCTTGCTGCAAAATTAGAAACAAAAATTAACAACTAATATGTATCATGTCTTAGAAGGATTTAGAAGGTGATGACCAAAATGTATAATCTCTCTCTTCCTTTCAGTTTCCAGGGTTCATATAAAGCATGAGAAACTCATTTACAAGCATCATGCGCAGAAAGGTATTTCCCCAGCAAGTTAACTGTCCGAAGAAAAAACGGGCGCATGAAAAATTGAACCTCAAAGGGAGAACAAGGCAAGGAAACATGCCTTAAATCATTTTCCTTCGGCCAGATTCTGATTCGAAACTACTGGAACACTGCTTGTAACAACATTGCTGGGAAATGCAGTACCACTGAGCGGAACACTGCTGGGAAATGCCGTACCAGCGGGGGGAACACTGCTGGTAACAACACTGGTGGTAAATGCAGCACCACTTGGGCGGATAACAGTGTTTCCTCCGGTCATATCATTGGCTACTTCAGCTTTTCTCTGATCCACATTCATAGTTTGTGGGGCTAAAGTAACAGTAGCTTGCAAAACTTGTGGGGCAATGGCAATGTTTGCACTCTGCTGTTTTGGCACCGTTTCAGCTGAGCTTGTTACCCTGACAGCATAAGCAGGCATTAAGTCCATGCTGGTCTTTTGCTGGTCCACAGGTGCTGCCTCATTCATAGCGTGAAGTTGTTGCAACCTGTAATCAGTCTCGGGCCTACGACAAACCTTCCTAAGTGGAACAATTTCCTGCCAAACCCAACTTCGATGAGTCAAAAAAATATATCAAATAAGAGGAGCTTGTAAAACATTGACAAGTCGAGGTAGTAGGTTATCTATCAGTGACATCTCCGCACAATAAAAAACAAGAGGACAGAGAATATCACACTGATCTGGTGATATTTACTATTATCATTTTTGTAATTATAAACATAGTTGGAGAGAAAGCTACGAGTTAGAAAGAAGACCAACTGAGAACACTACCACTTGGCAATTACGGACAGCTAGTTGTTATAAATAAATTTTCGGTCTTGGTCAAGCAAACACATCAATATAGTTTTCTTAAGTATGTACAGCCAATGCCTCATTGTGATTCACTGATTTACAGTCATTCCGCATTCCACGATAATCTCCAGACAATAATGCCAATCCGAACTTGACATCAAATCAGAAAACAGGGCCTTAATATGGCCACATAATCAGAAAAAGAAAAGTAGGGTACCTCACATCTATCTGATTGGAAATATTCAGGAATCATTTTAATACAACAATCACAGTGTGACATATAAAGACCCATGATGGAACTGGAGTGCAAATGACTTTTTGTTAGTGGTTAAAAGTTATACATCTAGAAAATACTTGTAGAGGTGTTCCCACTATAAAATTACAGGAGGTAATACCTACAACAGATTAGATAAGGCCCTTGGCTACATATTATAGAGTTCAAGGATGTAAGATAAAGTGGCCCGGTCCAATCATGAAAAGATGAATGCCACAGCAGTACATAATAATCATATTGCATACCTCTGATTGATCATGATCATAACGGACCAGAAATCTACAACGGCAGCCTCTAACATCATGCCTCCGTCTTTGAGCATCAAGGACATGAGCATCGAAATAAAGAGCCTGCTCCTTACCTTCCTACATGTTGCAAAACCAGAACTTCAGAGAAAGAATTTGGGGGGGGGGGGGATTATGAAAAGGAAAGGGAGTGAAAATGGTCAAAATCATATCAATGTTTTCACTTGGCAACTGGCTACCAATATCCCACCTGAAAACACAGTATGAGATCCCCTGGGAGAACTGCCACACATTCTGATGATTCACATGGCAGAGAGCGTGGCCGGATATTTTTTCGCACATTAATCCACTCATCTTCCTCAGATCCAAAACCAGCAAATCTGACCATAACTTCCTGGAACAAAGAAGATATTATTGGAATGATCATATAGGTAGAGCCCAAAGCAATATAAGATGAAAAGCATGACAAAGTATTCCTATTCTTTCAAAAATTTAAGGGCAAAAAATTAGAGATATTTACAGCACAATTATGAGTGGCCTAGAACTGACAGCCAAATCAATTTTATTCCTGTAAATACAAACCACTATAGCCTACTATAGCAATAAAATGTGGGTTAAAACTGTCACTCAGAAGTACATTCATCAGTCATCCAACCAGCAAAAGAAGAGGATAAAAAATATCAAACAGCTGGCACTGCAAACAAGTGGTTCACCCAAAACGAATGACTGTTTATGACTTCATGATGCAGATATTTAGTTCATTCTAATTTGATTTTCATCACTGCAATAGTTTGACAGAAGCAAAACCAACACTTTTGACCGCCTATAAACATCTTACAAGTACAACCTCATCAAGCAACGCCACAACTGGTATGAAAATGCATATGAAAATGGATCGGTTGAAAAGTCACCAAATCAGCAATATATCGTTAGTTATTAGTTAAGAAAGAAAAAAGAACAAAACCTAGATGGCAACCCTGCAAAGGCCCTACTAATTCTTTTAAATAAATTAACTGATAACAATTCATCCTCAAATTACCGGATCACTGGATTCCAAATGCCTGTGGGATAGAAAGTTTGCAACATCGTACCTTATCAACAAAAGAACAAAAGTCAGGTCTGCATATCTAAGATCGTAAAGTTTTTTTTCGTTTTTCTTTTTTTTGGGGGGGGGGGGTTAACAAAAGAATATTGTAGACATGAATGGTGAGAAATATTACCATGCTCCATCCCTTCCAGACTTAGCTTCAAACTCCATTGCTGAGTTTTCCGGAGCACTTTTTACAGTTGAAACTGGGAACGAAATGAATAAATGCATAATATGACATGAGAGCACAAACATTCTAGATAGGCTGTAAAAAAACAATTGAGGCCACAATACGAAGTGAGACAATATTTCATGATCCAGGTTTCTCTATCACAATTCAAGACTTCAAACAGCCAAGAAGAAATTGGTATTCCAGCCAGGAACTTCATCAGCGTGCAAGTTGTCTTGCTTTCCAGTTAGACAATACTATTACATGCCTTCAAATAAAGACTGAGCAAAGATGGTCAGAAATCAATACAAAATTCTAGTTACTATGGTTTTGGTATAGGCAGTATCTGTTAGGCCCTGTGCAATGATGATGTGATCAACACTTAGAAAATTAGACAGTTAACCTTAGTTTTCAGTGTTTGCAACTGTCTAGGGTCCAGACAAAATCTTTTAAAGCAACAGGTTCAGTATAGTAGCCGTATCATGACCAAAGCACAAAGTATGAAGTGCATCAAATAATAGCAGAGTTAGCAGGTGAAGGCGGTACAAACTTAGCAAGCTACTAAGTGCATTATAACATGTGTTAGCAGGTCCCAGAAGAGTGAAATGCTATACGCTAGGGGCCAGAAGAATTGTTAACATGCTTTTTTTAGGAGGGAGTTTAAAATTCTAATTGGCACTGATGGAGTTGAAGCCTTAAAATTCTAATTGAAACCTTGTTCCATTCTCCACTCTCTTTTTTTGCCAAAAAAAGAAAAATAGAGATAGGAAATGTCAGTAGACACAGTTCATAAGCACAAAATCATCATACTGAAATTAGTATGACATTTAAACCAGAAAATAACAAAGAATAAAATGGTAGAAGGAGCTTTCGTTGATAAGGCTTCTAATGGGAGGGAGCAGAGACCCTTTCACAAAAGAATAATTTTTTACCATTCACCCATGAACAATACAAACAAAGTTTAAATTTCAAAAGAAGCCTCAAGAAGATGCCACTGTATCATACATGCCATCTAGGAAAGTAAAAACCAACAATTTAGGCAAAACCAGAAGAACCAGCTTAAATAAATCAGGCACCCAAGAAGAGAAAATTGCAAAATACAAGCTTAATCGGTAGAATCATTGACAAGGATACAAGATTCAACCAAAATGAATACGACAATATAAAGCATCTAGGACTACCGAAAGAAAGAAAGAAAGATGTCAAAGCACCAAAATGCAACAATTCCTACCTGAAGCAGGAGGTATGGGAGCAGCCACTGGCTGAGGCATACTTCTAAGTGGGGTTGACTCATCTCGAGCCATAGGAGTGATACTTAATTTTCCAGGAGCCTTACTAGATTTTGCCCTTATAGCATATCGTTTATTTTGAAACCAGTTCCAAACCTATAATGAAGTAGACAGATAAGAAAAAGAAGCAAGAAGATATTTTTGTAACTCAAAAAAAGTACAGGTGTTACATTCATACTTGCTTCATCTGCACAGTAATCTTTCCTCTACGGTCAGGAGATTCACTACAACCAAGACAAAAGGAAATGATAAGATCAATCCGCTGCCCACTTTCATGGGCAGAATAAATAATATTTAAACACTTTGCTGTAATCAAGTAATCATAAATACATAGCACACCTGAACTTCTCTGCAAGAGCTGTGAGAACATCACGTGCTGGCATAGCATTGTTATGCTCTTGCAAAATTGTTTCCATTTCTGCAACCTGTACAGATATTGTTTGCAGAAAATATACGACCAGAATCCAAACACCTAGTTAATCCCATCATAAATTTGAGTGTATGTACATATGGCATCGTAGAGAAAAATACACAGAACAAAATTTAAATAATAACCATGATTTGCACTAATTTACATACGGAACCATACTAAAACTTTCACCTATATAGCATTTACAGATGTCTGAATATTGATGGTCTTGAAAAATGTTTGGAAGTAAGTACATTTACATGTGCACCTAAGACAACCAATGTAGGTCTGCGATAGCAACCTGAAAGCTCAATGTTTGGCATGATAGTGCAAGCAGTCATCTAAAGTGTATCCACACACACGTTACTAGTTCATTCAACAAAGAAAAGTTAGAGCTCATTTATCCTGGCGGCCATTCTATTTGCCATAGCCAATAGGCCAAAAAAATAACTGAAGCAATGCAGTCCCCATCACAGGAAACAGCGTGCATAGGGTATATATTTTAAGGGGGTGAAAAGGAAAAGTGATACACTGAAATAACTTTGGATCACACCCAAACCAAGCTTAGATTTTTCTGACCTTTGTCAATTGTCAAAGGTGCTTAACAGAGGACTGACAGTGAGTATGCAAGAGAGCAAAAGTAAACCAAGAGAGATATAGCAAAAGTAGAGAGCTGACAGTGAGGCGTCATTTTGACACAGAAAATAGTATGGAAACTATACAAGGAATCACCCAATCCTTTGTTTGGATGTAGCATAATTAATTAAGAAAGGAAGCCAAGGGAATGAGATTTTCCCCTAGGCATTTTCCTCGCTTTTAGTTCACTCCAAAAGCCCATGGAAAATGCAGAGATAGCAAATTTTATTTATGAACTTCCATGTTTGTCCGCTAAAAATAAAAGGACTCAAGTAAAGGAGAAAAAATCAAATAGTAAAATTCTATAAAAAATTCCTTTTCTTTCTATTGCATGGTGCTCCCAAACATGCATTACCAATTATTTACTTCTCAAGTGGCAGGCAATCCAAACAAAGGAATAATTGTCACATAGTGGTACCCTTTCTCTGGTCTATCTCATGGACTAATGCTTAATGCATTAATACTATAGTAGTCCTTTCCATTCCATCACATATCATTCAACAAAATGACATAAAACCGTTGACCAAAAGAAAAAAAGGAAACAAAAGAAAAGAAATAAAACCTGACTGGTGAGAAACCAAGGTTCATGTTTGTATTTCTCCAAAAGAATCAATAGAATCTTGCTTTAAGCAATTAAGGAAATCTTAATTATCTTCCTTACAGCAATTCGAGTGAGGTTAGTCCTCTGTTTAGACCCTATTGCAGGCAGCGGAATGACAATATTTTAAGGGAAGAAATAAAAGGCAATCATATGTAAGTTCTCCAATGCTAGTGTGGGTTTTCATTTCTGTTACAGAAGAAAGTTTAGCTAAATACCAAATTGGGTAAGAGAAGAAAGACAGCATTGTAAGGTTTGAGATCCACAGTACAAACACTCTATGCTGTGAATAAATAAATTTGGGCAATAGATTAAGGTATTGATCGCTTGTTACCAGGCAAGCCATCACGGGAAACCATCTGCACCAGAGGAGCAGAGTATAACAAGTCATTCAAGGTTCAGATGAGGCTGGTGTCCATTTGTTTTGGACGAAAATGTCAACAAGTTTGCAAATTGGATAAGAAAATAAGCATTGCAATCTAACACGTTAAGATTCACAAAGCGAGAAAACTAAGTTGTGAATAATGAAATGTGTGTAACATAAAAGGCATTCATCCATGACTTGGAACATGCCGTTGGGAAAATCATCAGAGCCGGTAAATGTACAGTAGCTTCCACTTTAGTTTTTATTTTGTACTAGTTACATATGTCATTGTGGAGTCTATGAATATACGGTATTTAACATAAATAAACCATGTTTTGCAGTCAAATGACTGGACATGGCAACCGTCCAAGGGGCATAATGCTGCTACTGAACAGACTCAACACAGAAATGCATACTCAGGGGTGGCTTTTGCATATCTTAGGGTTCAGGTTAGTGAAAAGAAATTTGGACCCAGCACCTAACTTGTCCAATAAGATAAAACTAAAATTTTCCTTTATCATGAGGAAGATAAACAAAGATGAATAATAAATATGTTTAATTAGAACTGCTTCAGCCGGAAACTCAACTGAGTTAATGGTAAGGACTTCGGGAGGTCCAGAGCTACAGATAACATTGTAAGCAAGGAGACTTGTATCGCAGAAAACTTGGCAGCACCCAGCATTGGTGTAACACCAACACGAATAAATATCTTTTATCCACCAATACACAGCACGCATGCATGCTAGGAATCCTACAGAACCATCTAAGGCAAAATATAAGGCGCAATTTGAACAAGCTAAAGCCGATCTCGTGAGAAAAAGAGTGGATTGAAATAAACGATAAGTAGCACCATTCAAGATTCGACGCAAGAAACAGAGCGGTCCATGTCCAGCGAAGCATAAAAATAACAAGAAAAATAAAATCTCTCGAGTCTTAATTGAATGAAACAGAAGACAAATAAAAGAATTGTGAGCCCCAAAATTAAAACAGATATTAACACAGGCTGACTTCATAAAAACAGGAAAAAAAAATCGAAAATTGGCCTCTGAAAACGCATTCATTAAACACAGCAATGGAACTAATCACACAGAAATTTCAACAAAAAACAGCTAAATCAAGCTCAAAAGTAAGTTCGCACGACTCATGCACCTGGTTCACACAAAAATAACAAATTTCAATCGAAACTTAAATAGACGAATACCTCAGCCTGAGTAAAGCGGAAGGCAGGGCCTCCGTTGCTGGGTGGCCTACCCATGACTCCTTTTCCCCTGCGATTTCGGTGAAGCAACGGGAAACGAAGCGATCATATAAAGAGAACAAGAAAAATCAGATACAAACTGCTTTGTTGAGCACGAGCAGCTAATGCAAGAGGGAAAATGCAAAAGTGCCTATCGAACTAATTTGAAAACGGTCAGGAATTTTAGATAACAGCGGGGGAAAAGGGTAAGAAGGGCGTTAGGATTCAAACCTTGTGATGTTGCGAAGAGGAGAGGAGTGAGGCGGGTGACAGGTACGATGATCAGACGCAGGATGGTCTAATCCAAGGCCCACTTGCGCGAATGGGATTTCTTATTTTATACATCCCTATCTCTTTCTCAATCAATCTTTGGACCCAAAAATTATGGCGTGTCTATCTTTCACACTTCCTTTATACATTATTCCCATTTTTCCAACCAATTAGATTTCTTATAACATGATGGACAAAAATTCGAATGGTTACTGCAAAAAAAAGTTTGGTTTTTGACACTGCCTCACACAGAATTACGTGTATTTAACATAAAAAAGCATTCTTTTTTCATCATAGAATTTGATCTATCAACCATGTTTCAAGAAAAACTAAGTCATTCTCACTTAACCAACTCAATAAACCTCGAATGAAAGTTGGGGATAGCTTTTCCTTTTTCACTCAACCACTATGTATGCTGGTCCATGCAACAAGACTCTGTATCCCTTTTCGAGTGGTTACCCAATTCAGTGGAACAAGCATTTGGTAAGTGCCTTATGCATCCCATCTGTGATTAATTTAATTATTGATACCCCTTCAATTTCTATTAGGCCTGATTAGTTAGTCTGGGATGGGAGCTCCAAGGCAGCTTCGCACAGTTAAAGATGGATTTCAATCATGGGTCGCCAACTCCCTTACCTTCCCATAAATCCATAATGCATCCAACTCGTTTTGAAAGTTCTCGAGGTCTTTATCTCTTTCGAAAAAGCAAACAACTTCTCTTCATTTGAAAATTGTTTCACCAAGCAATTCCTCACTTGAGACATCCTGAAATGGCATCGCATTACTATATCTGGAACGTGCTTGTGTGGAATCTTATCCGCACTGCATGGACTCAATCCCGAGCAAAGAGCCACGCTAGCTAGAGTCAGCATAGGTGCACACGATATAGTCAGCAAACGGCTTTTTTTACCCGTATGCTATGCTTTGTAAAAAAATATATCAAACTGCTGTCACACCAAAAGTATTTATCAGTGTACTATACTCAAAAATGATTTTGACAAGAACGATTTTCAAATCGTACATAAGTCACTCTTATCAAGAATGATTTATGTGTTATCTGACAAAAAATGAAATCATTCTTTGCTTGAATGATTTCACTTTTTGATATTTTATTTTTTAAAATCCAAAAATAAAATCGTTCAAGAAAAAAATAATTTTACTTTTTGACTACAATATTTTCACATGCAAATTTCTTTGCAATTTCCTTCCCAATACAAATATTCACTTCACTCACTTGTCAACTTAACTTATCCTCCCCATGCAAACCCGCAAAGCTATAGCAAATGTACATGCTTTTATATATTCTATTTCTTCAACTTTGGTTTCTTGTTTCATCATCTTTCATCCTAAATTTCACTCTTCTTTTCTTCCTCTATGTGGTTTATTTCCTCCACTTTCATTATTCTCTTACTTTGTTATTTCTTCACACTTGCTTCCAAACACTTGACAAGCCCTTTTACTATTATTGTGGGTATGTTGTTCCTCTTCTCTCTCTAAATTTATAACTGTAATATAGAATCTTATTTTTATTCCTACTACCCTTGATGAGTTAATATTCTATTATTCTAATTTTCAAGAGGTAAGTGGTAGGTTCAACAATCTGAAAATATTTATACTCTTTTTAAGCTAGGTGCCTCTCATTTTAACAGTAAAATTATTATTTGCGATATTGTTTTAAGATATTAAGATTTTGATATAAGCTCTAATCTTTTTTAAGTACATTCATATTATTTTTTTTCTTATGAAAGTATACTTCTTTAAAAGTTTAAATTTGGTAAGATAAAACTGACGAATAATTATACATATACCCTAAGTATCAAATCTATGGTATATATAATAAGTAGGCAGTTGGCCAAAAAAAAAAATTAAGTAAGAAAGTTTGCCACACACATCAAGTGAACTATTGCTTTCATGTATTTTTTAAGTAAAGATAGGGTGTAAGTAGCGAAAAATTGAAATAAATGAAGGACACTCGTAAATTCATTTTCTTCATTTTGCCTTTTTCCTGGTATTCGCTATTTTGTATTTTTGAATTAGTGATGACGTATCATGACATTAGTGCTTTGAATCAAAGGTTTTCCTACTCACAACTGTATTGGGGGAATAGGATTGACGGATAAACATGACCAATTCCTTTTAACTAGAATGATCATAATTTCCCATATTTACTTGGATATTCTTGGGGAAAAAATTAGAAAAGAGATCTTTATTTTTGAACCCTTCATTTTAACCCAATTGTTTTGGCCCAAAAATCTTAACCCAATTAGATTTTTAGTTTCATGCAATAAATTGATATTTATTAAATTAGATTTGACAAAGATAATGAAATAATAAATATGTATTATAAGGTATAAATAATATATGTATGTGTAAAATTAAAAAAATTCCATGATTTCTTATTTATTAAAATAATATCAAAAGAAAGAATTTTAACATTAAAAAGATGTCAGTTTGGCATATTCTATACAGTGCAAACAATATATTAATTAATAATTAATATAAATAAAATTATAGAAATAGTGGAAGAAACAAGAGGAAAAAAATCTCTATTTCTTAAACTTATTTTTTTATTTTAATTACAAACAAATAATTAAGGTAGAGCAAATAAACCACAAGGAGGAAAAAGAAGAAGAGTAAATTTCAGGATAAAAGAAGATGAAACAAAAAATCAAAGTTGAAGAAGTAGAATATATAAAAGCATGAACATTTGTTGTAACTTCACGGGTTTGTATGAAGAGGATGAGTTGAGTTGACAAGTAAGAGAAGTGAATATTTGGAAAGAAATTGTAAATAGTTCGCATATGGGAATATTGCAATTAAAAAGTGAAATCGTTTTTTGTGTCAATGAGTTCATTTTTTTATTTTAAAAAAATAAAATGTCAAGAACGATTTCATTTTTTGTCAGGTAACATACAAATTGTTCTTGGTAAATCGATTTTTATACAATTTGAAAATTATTCTTATCAAGAACGATTTTAAGTATAGCATACTAGCAAATACTTTTAAAATTGTAGCATTTTGGTTTTTTTTACTGTGTATAGCATACCGGTAAAAAAGCTGTCAGCAAATCTATGTTCAGCAAGAATATAAAATATATATACACTCTTTTGATCTTTAATATAAAATCCAATTAATTAATTTGAGTATATTAAAAATATTAGTTAAATTAATTAATATGATATGTCTTTTCCTGAAACATCTTAAGTATTTTTTTTTAATTCTCTCCCCCTTTCCTACTTGATTATTGTTGAAAGAATATCAATGGGGTTAATTTACAAAAATTGATAAAATGTAAAATACGTCTCATATGTGGGATTACTATTAACTCTTTAATTAGCTCCTGTTATGAATTAGAGGTGGCTTCTTGTTCATACCCATGTCCTAGAATTACCAGCTTCATCCTCATAATCATCACTTTTCTCTGCGAGCAGAGGGTTTTTTTTTTTTGGGCCTGAAGCGAGCAGAGGAGTGACAGGGCTGGGTTATTTCTTTCTGCCTTTCTCAGTTTCTTTAAATAATGTGTTTTAATATGCATACATAGGTCCCACAATGTTTTAATCTCACGGATAGTGATTTGACCTTTCATATGACCTTCACGAATGACCCCTTCAAACGAAGGTCAGTCAAAGATACATCGAATATCTTAATATTATTTTTATATATATTTAAAATTTTGATCTTATTTATAATATATCCAGTATCCTATGCTCCATAAAATAAGATTAGGGTATAGAATATATCTTTATTATTTTAAAAAAAATTTCTTCATTTCATCAAAGAGTTGTATATATGAACTAACATGTATAGATTTGGTAGGTAATTGGAAATTTAAATTATAAAATGGATATTTAAAAAGCAGCTCTACACAAACAAAACCACAAAAGTCAATATAGACACACAAGTCACGAAGACAAAGGTCCTATTTAGGGTTATGATTGAAATTACTTGTAAGTATGTTTTATGTAAGTTAAAACGAAACACTTTTTATATGCTGACTTCATATTCCATAAATTATAATTAAAAAATTATTTATAAACCATTTTAAATAAACTCAAAAGCCCAAGATTGATTAATCCATCTTCCTTTCCATAATGCAAAGTGAAAGAGGCACAGCTAGCATCTTCAACTTAGTAATGGGCCTTGGCCCCTAAGAAAATTATTTATGGGCATAGAACCATCAAGGTTCTGGGTGGGAAAAAAACACCATGACAAATTTTAACAGTAGAGATTGAGCCTAATATGAGTTACATTACTCGTAATTTAATTTTCATATGGCTAAATATTATATTTATTGTTTATTATTTATTTCAGGTGTTCGTCTCAGATTTAGATGACTACAATGGTTTTATTCAAGTTTTAAAAAACAAATTACAGAAATTAAACGTGAATATGCTGCACACTTTATGATTTTATGGAGAATGTGATTTGTTGTAGAATTTATATTTCAATATTGACATTAATAATTGAAACAACCAACTGAAAACAAACATCGGCTTTCATAACTTGAGGGTGAAGAAACAAAGAATGGGGTGAGGGATTAGGTGTGCAAGCAAATTGTAGTTTTGGACAAGGCAAGCGGCAACCTATGTGGTTGGGTACAAGAAACCCCTTGCTCAGTCCTAGACATATGCTTGGATCTCCACATAGTGACATCAATACAATATAAGATGTAATTAATTGAGAACTAGAGGTAGTATTATACAAATTTAATATTTGTAGTTTCAAATTGTAGTTTAATCTCTATAATTTCATAAAAATTTAGTTTGAGTTTAACGGTTTGGTTACTACTGATAAATATGAAGACCAAAATCAAAATTTATTGAAAGTATAGGGATAAAACCAAAATAAATTAAAAATATATTATCTTGATGAGTTTTGGTTTTTTTTCTATGTACTTTTTACAAGTTTTTATTTTGGTCCATATAGTTTTTGTGACACGATAGGCATAAAAAACTACTATTTGAACTAGGATTAAAATTCAATCAAATTGAAAGAATTAACAATAGGAAAAATTATAAAAAAAAAGACC